TAGTGAAAATACTAGTACACAAAGCTTTGAGGACATTGAGAATGATTTATTTTTTCAAAGGAAAACTCCTTTCTTTCTGTTTTTCTCCTTTTACCTTTGTCTTTCAGTTATACCTGCCGCCACTTGCGGAGATATGTTTATGTGTTGGACAAACTGTATTTCCCCCACTCTCACTGTTCTACGCTTCAGCATTGCTTCTCGAGCCTCAGTGACAATGGAGAGGAACTCTTGTCTTTAACTTGCTCTCACATTCTCAGAGCCTATGCTTCCAGGTTATTAACCTCTGCTGTCCATGTTCTGCATGCTGCATGCTGTGTATGACTGGTAATTGCATGTTTAAATGGGACACGCCAATTAAATGATTGAAGAGGAAATTTATATTTGAAATGATACTAATTCTTTAAAACAATAGCTGGGATTTGTTTGCTTACAAATGTCTTCTTAAGTACTTCATAGTGTGTTTCATGGGAGAGAGAAAAGCTTTCAACCACAGAGTTGTCATGTCAACTTGAAAGAACTTTTCTGTACTTTACTCCATTTGGAAATCTTTGGGTTTAATTTATAATAGTTGGGAGTGCTCTGGTTTGTATATGAAATAGACCCTACAGTTGCTGTTAATTGCATATGAATTTTGAGTTCTCTTTCTTGCTCTGCAAGCACATCTGAGAGCTGGCTGTGAGGTTCCACCCAAGTTTCTATCGAGGCTCGTTCAGCTAAGCAGATGTGATTTTATAAGAAGGTAGAAATTAGCCATTGGGTTTTTATATTTCTCACTCATTTTATTTACACAAAGAGTAGGTATAAAGTCAACAATTTGCAACGTGTCATGGGTGAGTGTAGAGTAAACATAATGATGGTGGGAGTAGTAAGAAGGAGGGAAGCAATCAATCTCAAGTATCAGAAAAAATGTGCACCTGCCGTTTAGTGTGTATCGTGCTTCAGCATAGAGGGGCAGCATGACATTACTGCTTTGTACTTTGTAGTTGACATTTTTTTTAAATATATATTTTATTGATTTTTTTACAGAGAGGAAGGGAGAGGGATAGAGAGCTAGAAACATCGATGAGAGAGAAACATCGATCAGCTGCCTCCTGAACACCCCCTACTGGGGATGTGCCCGCAACCAAGGTACATGCCCCTGACCGGAATTGAACCCGGGACCCTTCAGTCCACAGGCCGACGCTCTATCCACTGAGCCAAACCGGCCAAGGCATGTAGTTGACATTTTAGCACACATTTTCTATAAATCAGAGATGACTTAAACTAGCATGATACTATTGGGCCTGAGATAGGAGAAATCAAGGAAAAGTTTAGTGTTGAGATCATCCTCTCCCTTTTAACGGTGTCACTTCTTTGAATTACTATTAACTCGGGGCTTTGGTTTGTTGCTGCCTGATGCTAGAAAGCTAAGAGAACATCGGCAATGCTTTCCAGTTATTTTCTGACACGTAGCAATTAGAAACAGTATGTTCTCTTTGTTATAAAATTAAGCAGGTAGGGGCATAGAACTCATAGAATCTATTGAAAATTGTGGGTCTTCTTTTCAAAAGGCAAAAATAGAAGAAGTCTCTAAATTCAGAGTTTACATGCAACTGCTATAAAAGAGACTGAAAATGTGAGCTGGGATGCCCATATGTAAGATAAAAAATGGCAGAAAATAGTGGATTGCTATAAAGAAACAACTACCCAAAGTCACCAAAATGTTAATATCTTGGAATTTATCCTAAGGAAAGAACTCAACTTAAGGAAAAAATTGTATTTAAGAACAAAATAAGGAAATGATCAAGTAAACTATAATTTCTCAACTCAATGGAATATCATGCAGCCATTAAAAATCCTATATAATAAAAGGGTAATATGCAAATCGACTGAATGGTGGAATGACCAATTGCCATGGTATGCACTGACCACCAGGGGCAGACGCTCAATGCAGGAGCTGCCCCCTGGTGGTCAGTGCGCTCCCACAGGGGGAGCACCGCTCAACCACAAGCTGGGCTGGCGAGCGCAGCGGTGGTGGCGGCAGCACTAAGGATGTCTGACTGACAGCTCCCAAACTGCTAAAGGGTGCAGGCCGGGCTGAGGGGGTACCTGCCCTCCCCCCAAGTGCACGAATCTCATGCACCAGGCTTCTAGTATTATATAGAGAAAAAAATAAGTAGAAATATGGAAAACATTTTATATGTTAAGTGTAAAAAGTATATAGTACTATTAAGCCAAATGTATAAAATCATATCCATATGGACAAGAACTAGATAATGTATAAAATAGTTGTGAAATATTAGTAAAATATACATGGCATTTCTTCTTTAGATAATTTTGAATTTATTTTTTAGGCATTTAAAAGCATTGTACACATTTAAATTATAAGTTTCTCCTCTCCCTTTTCTTTGCCCTCCCTTCACTGCCCAAGTTAAATACATGTTTTTGCCTTTTTCCCTCCTTCCAACATATTGTAGTATCATTTTATTAATCGGCAAAGAGCTGAAATGGTTCATGGGACTCTTCTGATCTATGGTCCCAGAAGATTTTTCCCATGGCTCATTTTAGAATTTTTATAAATTCTTTTGTCTTTCTTTTTAACTGAATAGGTCTATAATTCTAAGTGAGCACAACATTAAATCTTTCTCTAAACTGTGGCACTTTCAAATTTAGGAGTACTTTTTACCTATGTGGTATGTCTCGAGGTTTAACAAATCACATCGGGTGCCATTTTTTGCTCTGAAAGGATTGCATCTTCAGTCTAAACTAAGACAGTGCTCAAATGAGTTTTCTCAAAAGAGTTTTTTTAAAATTCTTTTAGAACAGTCTTGTCAGAGTATATGCCGCTCACTAAATCTGTATTGAATAAATATTTGAAACCAGAGTAATAATTTTTCATATGATACTGTCTTAATAATTTTCATATGATACTGTTGTGGCTGTGTGCATTATTGATTTCTGTGCCACTTCTGTGGCATGAAATGAAATGTATTATCCCGCTTAAACCATTATGGTTTCCTTTTGAGTTACTTATTCACTACTCGATCCTGTCATCAAGCTTCTTCCATTTTCTGTAATGTGTTCAGTCTGAAGATTTACTACTTTTGTACTCAGTGCCGTGTAAGTCAAAATAGAACAGGTAAATCCAGATCAGAAAACTTGGGAAGAATAAACAATAGGCAATTAATGTTTTTTTTAAAAATCACTTTTCTATGTATTCACTATGTTTCTTGGTTTGGGGATTTGGAGTTTTATTTTTCCATCTCAAGAATTACAGGGATGAATCACTGCTGTGTGTTCTGTGGAAGCGAGGAGGGCAAAGCTTGACAAACCTAGCTGCCGTCTTTGCTGGGTCTCAGCTGAGGTGGACAGCTTTGCCCCGCCCCCTTCTCTTGGCATGTGTTACAGCATGTTGCAGGCTTTCTTCCCACCTTTTGTGCATTTCTTTGTGGGCTCGATTGCTTTAAATACTAGAATTCCTTCAAGTTTGATCCTAAGGTCTTCTCTTTTTACTTAAATTCTCCCCTTGGGCATTTTCATCTCTTTCTGTGACTTTTCATGTCACCCATGTGCCAGTGCTTCCCAAATTGATAAGTCCAGCTGAAATTCTGAGCTCAGTCCCGTATTGTCAGCTACTGTCATTTGCCTTCATGTTAACATCTCCACTCAGACCTCTCACAGTCCCCATCTCTCAGGTGAACTCTTAACCTTCCTCCACAAACCTTTTCTTTTAGTCTCCTCAGTAAGTGGTGTCTCTGTCCATCAGGTTGCCTGTGGTCATCACATGAGAATGACCAATATTTTCTCCCCCCTCTAACCCGTCCATCTTCATTCCATCCATTTCAGTTCTGGATCCAAAATGTAAATGGAATCTCTCCTTTTCTCTGCCCCTGTTGCCAGCCCCTCTCCCTCAGATCACCCTTATCTCAGACCTGGACTGTGAAGACCTCCTGTCCTGTTCACACTTCCCTCCCATCACTCCCACTCCTAACTCCTCATCTAGCAAGCATCTTCAGATCATGGAAATCACATGGTCTCTTCCTTGCTGAAGACCCTTCAGTGGCTCCCCTCTGCCCTCGGGGTGGTACATTCTCTAGCTCACAAGTTATCTTTTCCTGTTGCTGACCCCTTCTCCATCTTAGAGCTTTTTACATGTTCTTTCCTGTCTAGATTGTTCTTTTCCCTGCTCTGTATTTCTTAACACTTGTTAATTCCTCAGACAGGTTTCCCCTTCTCCCCAAACCTGTTGTTATCCTCCTATATAATAAAACCATAATATGCAAATCGACTGAATGGCGGAATGACCGGTCGCTATGACTCACACTGACCACCAGGGGGCAGACACTCGATGCCTCCTGGTGGTCATTGTGCTCCCACAGGGGGAGCACCGCTCAGCCAGAAGCTGGGCTCACGGCTGGCGAGAGCAGTGGTGGTGGCGGGAGCCTCTCCTGCCTCTGAGGCAGTGCCAAGGACAGCTTGGGGGATGTCCACTTGCCGGCTTAGGCCCACTTCTGCCCAGCAGGCGGACTTCCCTTAGGGGCCCCAGACTGCGAGAGGACGCAGGCCGGGCTGAGGAACCCCTCCAATGCACGAATGTCATGCACCAGGCCTCCTCTAGTACTTAATATGATGTTTTGTCTCACACACATGTCCTTTCTTTTTCTGTCTCTCTCCTAGAGTAGACATAAGCCCACAACGGAAGAAAATGTGTGCTTTTTCAATCCATCAATCCCTAGCACCTATGCACGCAATACTTAGATACACAATAGGTGCTTTATATTTGCTGAAACTGAATGATTTTAGTTTACTACAGGTAATTTTTTGCAGGCTTGCTTAGTCTAATAATGACCACTTCTTCAGAGGTTACTTGACCAGAAGCTGTAAGATGGCTATCCTGTTAAAATGCTACTACACCTCAAAATAGCATTCAAAATAGCATCATTAGATAATGAAGTATTCTAGTTATAGTTTCCATAGATACATAGTAAAATTGCCTGGCAAAGGAAGGCTCTTTAATTCTTGAATATATGGAATTGCATTGCTTTTGTCTCTCAGCTAAGTATTTTGCACTTTTTTTTATCTTTATGATAAATCATAACCATCAAAGCAATTTCAGCATGCTTTGAAAGATGCCTCATAAAAATGCAAAAATAACATTTTCTATGGCCACTCTAAATAAGCAGAAGAAATTCAGAGGGAAAAGTAAAATTATTTTATATTAAATTTGCCTCTTGAAATTTAAATACAATACTGGAAAATTAGTTCTAAGTAGGGTTTTTTTGCATAAATAAAT